ACCGGTATCTGATTTTCATATCGCAATATATTATCGTGGTGGAAAATACCGCAATATACCGATATACCGGTAATATTGCACACCCCTAGTTTAAATAACAGAGTTCTTGGAATTTTTCAGTCCTGTTTGCAAGACCAATAAAAACAAGCAAGGACCAAGTACTTTTGGTTCTTTATCAGTCCAAATGTCCGGTAGATGTTGACGGAGCAACTTGCGACAATCCGATTAAATTTTATACTTATTCCCAACAATCACAATTAGAATATTCTAGCAATAAAAATAATAAATGTCCTAGAGACTCGGTTGAACGATAGAATGCGTTTTGTGTACCAGCATCGTAGCAGAGAAAATACGGGAAATAACTCTTAACTCAGTGCACAAACTCAAAAGGGGTTGATATAATTAACTTGGTACTTATTTTCAGTGCAATTCCTTTTGTATTGTTCAAAATTGTTTCGGAGCAATTCTGCAATGTACTTGTGGTGAGGGCCTAGCTGTCCCGAACACAGTTAGATTATTCTAACTAGATCGTTATTTGTTGAAAACATTTCTATACCACTTGATGGCACAAATAATAGTAGGTAATAAAATTCAAATGCAGTTTTCTTCTTTTATGATATTTTTTGGGGAACTGATAGAAATCTGTCTGGACTGACAAACTTCAGATGCTAGTCAGTCCAAATGACTGACAGCAGCAAAAAAAAAAGATTTCAAGAACTCTGAATAGCATATGTCATTTGATTGCCAGTCTTCTATTTCTAAAATCAATTTGTTATCAAGTTTTTAATACTAAAAAAATTGAATATATCAAGTGACAAATTTCAGAGCATCATGTCCCACATGAAAGATATATGCATTTGTGTTTGTTTGTGGGGGAGGGGCATTTTTAAAGGGCATTTGCAGAGTATCATGACAAATAGTCGCAATTTATTTTTTCAATGAAATAAAAAAAATACTGTTACAATGTATTAGTATTGATGTTTTATTTGGTTGCACCACAGTTTCATTTATTAAAAAAAATATAATGAGCAATTATATTTTCACTCGAATTGTTTCTAAGAAAATGGTGAACACTCTTAATACATCCATAAAATATTTGTGAATTGGCACCTACTCTGAAAAACCCAGTGGGGGTATTTGTCCCTATTAGACAGTTGTAGTTCTGGTTGCCATGGAAACTGTCTTTAATTAATGAAACTTAAATTAAAATGGTGTGTCGGACGAACTCTTGTCCGTCCAATTTACCCTGACCAAAAATGTTTAAATTGACAGATGTTGCTTAATGCTTCTTGCCGCTTTTCAACTGTAGATATGCACTTTCTTGCATAATAAAATAAATTTCTATCCACATAACATTGTTTTTAGCTCTACTGGTCAGAGACCAGAAGAGCTTATGCGAAAGTAATGCGTCCGACGTCCGTCCGTCTGTCTGTAAACAATTTTTCCAAATGCTACTCCTCCTACAGTTTTGGTCTGATTTCAATATAACTTGGCACGCAAGTAGACTACACTAAGATACATAATTCTGTATATCGGTTTTTGATTTCAATGAACGGTGTTGCCGTGGTTACTAAAAATAGAAATTTCTGTGAAATTCTTTCAAAACGCTACTCCTCCTACAGTTTTGGTCTGATTTCAATATAACTTGTCACACAAGTAGACTACACTAAGATACATAATTCTGTGTATCGGTTTTTGATTTCGATGAACGGTGTAGCGGTGGTTACTAAAAATAGAAATTTCTGTGAAATTCATTCAAAATGCTACTCCTCCTACAGTTTTGGTCTGATTTCAATATAACTTGGCACACAAGAAGACTACACTAAGATACATAATTCTGTATATCGGTTTCTGATTTCAATGAACGGTGTTGCCGTGGTAACTAAAAATAGAAATTTCTGTGAAATTCTTTCAAAACGCTACTCCTCCTACAGTTTTGGTCTGATTTCAATATAACTTGGCATACAAGTAGACTACACTAAGATACATAATTCTATGTATCGGTTTTTGATTTCGATGAATGGTGTTGCCGTGGTTACTAAAAATGGAAATTTTTGTGAAATCATTTCAAAATGCTACTCCTCCTACAGTTTTGGTCTGATTTCAATATAACTTGGCATACAAGTAGACTACACTAAGATACATAATTCTGTTTATCGGTTTCTGATTTCAATGAACGGTGTTGCCGTGGTAACTAAAAATAGAAATTTCTGTGAAATTCTTTCAAAACGCTACTCCTCCTACAGTTTTGGTCTGATTTTTATATAACTTGGCACACAAGTAGACTGACACAGAGATACATATGTCTGTGTATCCGTTTTTTGATTTCGTTGAACGGTGTTGCCGTAGTTACTAAAAATCGACATTTCTGTGAAATTGTTTTAAAATGCTACTCCTCCTACAGTTTTGTTCTTATTTCAAAAAAATTTTACACAGAAGTAGACTACACTAAGATACTCAATTCTATTTATCATTTTTTAATTTCGATTAACATTGTTGCCTTGGTTACTAAACATAGAAATTTCTGTAAAATACTATAAGGTATAGGCCTTGAGTTATTGTTCATATTTATTACTTCCCTTGTGAACATATGTAAATACTGTTTACAGAGTATGGGCTATTGGTTTTATTTTGTATGCTGATGTTGCTGATAATTTGGAGATTACATACGTAATTAAATTGTATTAAATACAAAACTAACCGTATAACAAGGATGATTGGAGATCGTTGGTGACAGTTGGTAATTTATAGGTAACGGCATTGGTGCACATGTTGGTGATTTGGTGATTATGAAAACCTCAATAAAATAGCGCAATTCTGTGAACAGATCATACCTGTATACGATAACTGGGTTCTTTTTATATTTAATTTTACTGTTAAACATCGCTGGTATCCCACATAAATGCATATTTTCCCCTAAAATTACTTCTCCATACACCTTGTAAACATTGGTAACTGGAAACTTCCAGTTATGGGGTTTTGGTAAAGTCACCAAACTCGGTGATGTCAACTTGCGCACTATGTCATTATTTACATTGGTGACACAAAAGAGTATATATTAGCAGGCGTTACGGAGTCAGAGAATCTGTTAGATAGAGATAGATAGATAGAGAGAGCAGTCAGATAGAGAGAGCAGTTATTACAGAGATTAAGCGAAATAGCAGTAGAAGCAGAATGTAAGTTTGGGCAACAATTACACACACCAAACACTTATTTAAAAAGTTACAGACATTAAAGTTTATCTATATTATATATATATATATACCTAAACGTTGGGTGCCAGTTGATATACCCCCCCTCCCTTTTATTTATGACCCGTATTACAAAACATGAGCTGCTCTAGAGTATTGATTAAATTGGATAATTCAACTTACCAACCAAGAATTTTCAGGAATGTAATTTTATTATTTATTGAATTAATTTAATCTCATTTAAACTTTGAAACAGCGTCTTTATTGAAAACAAGTATTCTCTGGCACATACAATACTATCAAAATGCCAGTTTTAGTCTGATTATGATATAATGTGGCATGCAAGTAGACAACACTAAGAACATAAAAAGACTTAATCAAGGATCATTATTCTATTTATTGCTGTTGTAAAGTTTCAGTTCCCAACTGCTACTTTTCTTTTCCTTTGCTATAAATAAAAACCAGTAGAGCTTCAGTCTGAACAGAGACTTCTGGTTTTTAATTATCTTGATCATATCTATGAAAGTCAAGTACATGTACAGATATTCAGATTACTTCTAAATAATTCAAATGAAATAGATTAAATATTTTGATTTCTTCCATTAACAGTATTTACCGAAGAGACAAATGAAGGTCTTTAGAGGAACTCCATAGCTATCTATGGATTATATGTCAATAATTATCTGAATAAATATCTTTTAGATGGAGATACATCATTTTGTGTTTTTTTCCTCGGGAATTATGTGTAATAATAAATACAAAAGAGATTAAATTCCATAAATCCTCAGTGTCTGTCTGAGTTTTTCCAACATCTGTCTTCCGTTTGTCCAACATAAAAAATGACATTTAAAAGTTTCATACTTGTGTTATTTATCAATTTTTCCCAATTTTCTTTGCATTTTATGCCTTTGGTCATCATATATTTCAAATTCCAAAGCTGAAAATACTTTTCCTTGAACATTGAGAACCTCGAGAGCAGAAAAATATACTTTTTGTCTGTCCCTGTTTGTCCAACACTTCGTCACTTTTTTCCAATTTTAATGAGTTTAAATGATTTTGTAATATGAGAAGAGGTTTAAACCTAATTGCTTACCTAGAATATAGAACATGAAATGTAGATTTGCAATTTAATTTGAAGTTGCTGGAATATACAACTGATTTTGTCTGTTCTGTTTGTCTAACATTTGATGTGGACAGCCCAATTATTTTTAATGAATAAAAACATTTTACCTCGGAAAGTTATCTTTTTAATGGCGCAGTTAGCAAGTATAGATACATATTTTATCCCATGTCAAAATTTAAGAATATTTAGGAAAAAAAATTCTCAAGTATTTGTCTTAGCAATTCTACACTGTATGAAAACTTTCCGTTATTTCCTGATCATAACAAGGAGCACACGGCGGGTGTGACCGGTCAGCAGGGGATGCTCACTCCCACTTCTGATGTTTCGGAGGTCCTTGTTTGCTCTGCTCCTATATTGTATTGTTTCATGAACTTTGATATTGAATACTGTTTGTATATATCTCCATAACCAAGTCAATTAAAAGTAATTGAAGTCAATTGTTAGGAAGTTGTTGCATGATACTCAGATCACCTACATTTATAAGGCTCATGGGTCTCTTGTTGATTTAGTCTGTTTGAGTATACCATGTTTACAGAAAGAACTACCTGATATAGAAAAAAAACAGGAAATGTGTATATTGATACATGTATCATTAACCGATTAATTGGTTTGAAATTTGTGTGGTTAACCAATCTGTATTCCGATTGCCATGCCTATTATAATACTATGATTGCTATTTTTTCCAGAAGTTCCAGTGCAGTTAATTCCAATAGTGGTAGATAAAGATGGAGCAGAACTCCAGTCTTCATCCTTTGCTCAGGCTTTGCGAAAAAGCCTTCTTGATTTCAGTGCAAAAGCTTCAATTTTAAAAAAAGTTGGACGTTACTTTGATTATGAAGTTTATGAAGAAAAAGTTCGTGGAAATACAAGTGTAAATGTGCTTTGCAGAGTTACAAAGGAATCAGACTTGCATGAATTTGAGGAACGATTTTACAGCGATCAGCTTGCAAAAAGTCTAGAACAATATCTGACATCTGTTGGGTTCCATTGGGATTTGAATATTGGATATGGAAACAAGAAGAAGGAATTCAAATTGAAAGTAATCATAGAAAGAAAATGCTTTACACAGAAGCCAACTGACTTTTCAAAGATTTCAAGGTAAGAATTGTTTATACATGTGTATATATCAATATCTTGTGCCATGGTTCTACATAAGGAGCAGATGATCCCTGTTTAATATTTTGAGGTCACTAGATTAAGGGTTGGTCTATGAATATAGGAAAATGTCCATACAGTGTCCTAGGATCTTTGGTTCAGAGATATCAAACTCTGTACAGTGTACCATTGACCTAAGTAGACAACCTTTATTACAATTTTTCCCGCTTCAGACAAAGAGGTAGGGGCTCCATTGGCGAAAATCGGCCCCAACTCAAAAAAAAAATTATTTTTTTTGATTATATGTTGTGGATGTCTATTTTTAAAAAACAACACGAATTTGTCCGAAAAACTTAATTTATGGAGAAAATTAAGGCATTGATTGACCGCCGTTAATAGTTAACGTTAACGTTTAAAAGTAGCGTCATTACGTTATACACACACAGTTACTCGGTACCCTCCTCAGAGAACACTGAGTTAACCATACTCACTAATATTGATAAGAACAACAAAACTTTTTTGATAGGTTACAACCACTAAATTTCTTTTGTCAGTGTATAATGATGATAATCTGATGGTTGTCATAGCAACGAACTTTCTTCATAAATATGTCTCTGACTACATTAATAACAGAAAGGAAATATCTCACAAACTTGACAATTTTAGCCATTTTCAAAATGTTTATATGTTTAGTTGCAAAATAGAGGTCATCAGTAAATTAATATGAAGACCTCTGTTCAGTTTATAATTCCTTTTAATAAAACAATTTTTCTAAATGAGAAGGGGGGGGGGGGGGTACTGAGCATATAATATCGTGCATGAAATATGACTTTTGAATCTCATTTAGGGTTTTTCAGTAATTGTTAATATGGATATTAAAAGATGTACATGTCTAATTATTTCTTTACAAAAGAGTTTCAGGGGCTATTGTAAGGCAATTGTGTGTGTTTATATGAGGGCTATTGAGCGATCAGTTAATTCTGTGCAAAACGGAGGTGACGTAATTTGCAATGCAACCGATGTCCAATGCTGCTTTACGCTTGATCAATAAGATTGCAAGGGGATGCTCAGCCTTAATTCCATCGTCCTTGCTATTATTTAGATTTACGTAATATTATTGTGTGGACATAACTAAACATTTATCATTTTGATAATCCGAAAAAAATATATTAATACGTAAGAATTGGAATTGGTTATGTTTTTAAAATATTTTATTAACGATTTTATACGCTATTATTAAAAAATATTTTACTGAACTACTAAAAAAAATACTGTCTCTAATACAACCACAAATAGATCGGCCGCTCCTGCGGCCGAAAATAAAGCTATAGATTGGACCCCTCGAAATCAATCTAATTAAAATTAGATGTTAGATCCGCTCCCATACCCCGCTTCCATACTCGCTATGTAGTGAGTATGCGAGTGAATCTAACATCTAATTTTTATTAGATTGCCTCGAAATCAAATATATAGTGATTTTTTTAATTATTTAAAAAAAACCCATTTAACTACAACATTTTTTCATGTGATCAAGATAAACCCCTTCCTGTTCAGAACTTATCATAATACGTACGTCGTGGGATTAAATTAACTGCGTGAGGTTGAGACTTTTCGGATGAAATCGTATAAATCGGTGTTTACTGTTGTTTGTCACGAAAAAAATCCCTCTCTGTTCAATGGCTCCAAGTATTGAGTACGGGTATAAATAAGCAGAGCTGGTGCTGATCCAGAAATTTCTTCCAGGGGTGGGGGGGGGGGGGGGGGGAAAAATTGTCAACCCAGAAATATTCTGACAAACAAATTAAACAACAACTAAACGTTGGGGGGGGGGGGGGGGGGGAGGGGGGGGGGGGGGGGGGGGGGGGGGGGGGGGGGGGGGTGGGGGGGGGGGGGGGGGGGGGGGGGGGGGGGGGGGGGGTGGCTTATAAAACCTCGTGCCATTAGTCGCCCGCGTGGCACAGTGGTTATAAAGCGTCTTAAAGAGATCCTTACATATTGGGTTCGAATCCCACTGTGGGACTTGGAAACCGGTCTTCATAAAAAACGAGTTCCTGTGTGGCAGTAGGTGCTGGCACGAAAAGGATCCCTCCAAGCTCAATGACCTTGAGAGCCGAGTGTAAGACAAAATTTGTAGCTCTCCAACAAGTGGTGGTGTCTCCATATCAGTGAAAATTCTCGAAATGTACGTTGAACAACATTCAATCAACAATCACTTATACCGCATTCAATGATTGACTTTTCATAGTCATTTCACATAGATGTATTTACTTTCGAGGAGGGTTCCGCGTTTTCCAAAGGTTGGGGGAGGTGTCCAAGGTCTCTTTTATTTGGTTTAGTATATGAATTTGCAAACTCTGCATTCCGGGGGCGGGGGGGGGGGGGACCAAACTACAAGTTGTGTTTCCATGAGTGAAAGATTCTCGAGGGGGTCAACAATAAACAACAATTAATCCCCCCTTACGAGTTGAAACAACTTAGCTTTGAAACAGCATATGAAATTAACTATCTGATTTACACAAAGTTTTTCCTCCTTGGAAAAGAATGTCTCTGATTTTTTTTTGAATACAACATTGCATTTATTCATATCATGTTATGTGCAAGTGAGTTGAAATTTCACTGTTATCTTTCTTTTTAAGAACAATCTATTTCCAAATGATTAATAATTATTATCTCATTTTTTTTCACCCCCCCTCCTCCTTGTTTTTTTTTAATCCCACTTTTTTCATTGCTTAAGTAGAATGTTTCTCTGCTTTGATATAGTTACCAAACCCCTTGTTTTTTCCTAACATTTTCATTTTTCAAGTAGAATGTATGTTTTAGTATATTTTACAGACCCCAGCAAACCTTACATGCATGATCCGTTAATAATTAAGTCTACATAAATCAATACGTACTCATTTACATGTATGTATATAAGCAAAAAGCTATGTATATGAGTTAATGCAAGTTAAAATTATATGTAGTTTTTTACCTATCTATCTACGAAAGGGGGTCGGTATGATTTTTTTTATCGTTGTTTGCTAAGCTAAAAAAAATTGACGATCTTCAACTGTATCTGTGTACGGTCGATCTTTTGTAATAATTTCTTACCACCCAAATATTATTTGGATTTTATTTTCAGCATCAAATTTATTTCTGCTCAGGTTACTTTTCAAATTTCTTTTCTATAAACACAAAAGCACATGCTGATTTCCTCCAATTTTTTTAAATTGTCTTCAGTTGTTGTGCAGTTCACTTATTATAAGTTTTTATTTTATGAAAGACTAATTACACGCAGAATTGTAATGTTGTGTGTGGATCAAATATTTACATGTACATCCATTTTATTCTTTTTCAGTTTAACTGTGAATGTTATATAATAATTATTAAGATGCAGAATTCAGTATTCAATATATATGAAAGCCAGTTGTCCCAGTTGAAGAAAAAATCAGATCCATATAATAGAACAAGATATCTTCGACAAATCGGCGCATTGGAAAGAGGGGGGGGGGGTATTAACATCACTGAGGCTGACCGGTGTTTACCCGGTTTTGACTTTGGAATAGTTTTCGTTTTGTTTTATCAAATCATTACTTACATGTATATACCCTTTAAGTTGCAATTAAAGAAACCAATATTAATTTATTACACGTATAGAACATTGTATAGAAATATAATGTGTGCGCAGAATGGGCAATTAATTCAGCTGCAGTCTTGTACACATACGTGATTCGAAAATAGATTACACCAAACTGTAGAGAGTTGGGTACAATAGCAGTCATAACTTCGTATATTTTTAGGTGTTATCAAACAGATAATGTTCATGGAAGCTCATTCTATCGTAACCTAATTCATTATGTTTTATCCATCAACTATTAACAACTGATTAGTCAACAACGTCATGACTTCGATGGGAAGTCCAATGCACCGTTTTCAAACGGGCTGATTTTTAGCCGGGCTTATTGCTCAAAGAGCAATTGCCGGCTTATGTGATCCTGTTCAAGACAGGATGTTGACCCCATAGTCGCCATTTTTAAGTTACGTGCAAAAATGTAGTTCTTACTCTCAACCGCTTTTGAGATAATACAAACGCTGAATAAAGCAACAAAAATAAAACGAAGTTTATCTATATAAAATAAACATTAGTAGTGATGACTTTGAAAACTTCATAAGTCAAAGAACATAGTTCATTAGCGTAAGGATTTTTGATAATCAGTGTTACCGTAGTTCTCTACACATACGAGGTAAAGCAGGAGAGGGAACCAGACTGGCCTGTTTGTTTACATTCAGCTGCGGTACCATATTAATTCTGAGTCTGACAAAATCGGACCGTGCTATTAGGATTGAAAAACTCACTTTCAGTGTCTTATCATTTATATTGATAGTTTTCAAATAATTTTTTCATCGGGATATAAACGTGATTCATGTAAGAAATCCATTCTACTCTGTAAATTAGCCCGGCTCTCTGTACTTCTGAGTACTTTGATTGAAAAGGGTAGCAAGTTTATGAATGCTATTGTTAAATATGGATTTTAATTAATACATTATGCCTTTTTATTTTTGCATGTAATATTGGCAAAACATTCTGTTTAATAATAAAGGTTGAATTGACACAGGTGTGCATGTGTAATGCGAGGAACAGCGGTAAGGTAAATGACTGCATGATCATGAGTGTAACAAAATCCAGACTGATTTTGGAATTTTTATACCCAAAATGACTGCATATTTTTGCTACCATGTCCTAAATTGATAACAATTTCTTACATTTTTTAGTAAATATATTAAAACATGTTTTTAAAATATGTACGGTGATGTAAAAGCACGAATTCATATCTAATGGAAATTATATTGTTGTAAATTATGATAATCATGATAATTGTTAACTTGGAATGACAGGTAAGTTTTTAGTTCATCGATCGATTTTTCATGCTCCGCAGGCCTCCACCACTACGATACTTCAATTGTTGATAGATTTGTTAATAATGAATATTTACAAGAAATTTCGTTTTGGTGGGTGCGTGTGG